CCCTACAGCACTGAATGAGAATGAAGATCTAAGTGTCCGGGTAGAAAGTCCTATAGTGGGACTCCCAACACCTTTTTCTGCCCCCCAGATAAATGAGCAGCAGCGTCCCACAGCAAGGAACCCCTCCCGTATGCCCACACCAACACATACACTGCAGTCCCTATCATTTATGTTTGCTGGGCCATATTTTCCTTCCGTCAACAAGGGACAGTAGTTTCTTTATGTTTAATGTTAGCCATTTATCCTCGAAAGCTATCTAACGCCTTCAAAAAAAAATCCAAAAAAAAATCTTTTCAGAACCCATGTCTTCTTCCTCTTCATCTATGTTTTCTCAATACTCCATATGCATGAACCTAAATTTAAGATGCATTTTAATACCCTTTTTCTTTACTCAAATTAGAAGTTTTGTTGTATCCCTGTTATACTTAAAAATCTTCTTCCTTGTTCTAAGGAGACTTTATGCAACATGTAGTACACGTGGTAGTAATTACCTTTTTCCATGAAGTTTTCATAATTTTCAAATCAAATTTGCTAATTATTCAATTTGTGATTAACGTCGTAGAGGTCATTAGTTTTGTTTTGGGAGTAATTTGTTGCCATTGTGATCTCACTGTATTTCAAAGACAGCCATTTCTTCCAGAGAGACTCTAAGTCTTTAAAAAAATGTATTTATGTCATTTTGTTTGGGCCTTTTTAAAGGCTGCATGCTGCATGAGACTATGTCTCCTTGGCAACCAAAATAGGTGTCAGTTACCATGAAAATGAATGACAGCGGACTATGGGCATCCATGTGCATTCTGGTATTATAAAACAATTTTCCTCAGGACCAGTCAAACATTTTAACTGCTTTGCCATCTTGGCCTGTCCTGAAATTATGTTTTGCATTTACTTATGAATCTAGCTTTCAAACATGATATTATTGCTCACCCACAATCTCATGAATGCATGTGTGTGATGTGGGGTGTGTTGTTGTAGGTGTCTTCCGTTATTACCCCCGTCCCCAAGTGTGTATCAATTCTGTGTACTTCAACCCGGTCTTTCTGGCATGGAAAATACCCTGAGTTAGTGGGTAGTTCTTGACACAGCAGGTTATACCTTATTCCTACCATGGTTCCCAAATATCCCATGGAGGAGCATGAACCCAATGGGACATTTTGATGGAGGTGAGCCACGTTGCTAGAAGTGAATGTATTCGAGGGCACCTTGAAATACAAATACTCTCTGCTACCTATCATAAGATCTCCAAGATGCTCCTGATTGACAAGACTGAGACGTAACTGTTGTTACATAAACGTAACTGTTGTTACATAAAATCTTTGGATTTTCTGATTATGTGTGTCTATTGTTGATCAGTCTGCTAACTACTTCTTTCGTATCTGACCCAGACCTTGGCCCAATTTCACATTTAGCAAGTCTTCTTGAGTTCCAATGTGTGTTTGCATATTTGTACGTGTGTATATGTATATATGTATGTATGTATGTAAGTAACTACAGGTCTAGAGGATCTGGTGCCATCTTCTGGTTTCAACTTGTATTATATACATGTGGCACACATACATGCACCAAGTCACACACACATACATATAAAGACAAATATTGCAAGAGGAGAAAGAATTTTTTAAAGGTCCCAGTAAATTAATCAAAATAACGTAAAATGTTTCACATCTGTAACAGCTGTCAGCTGCTACAATAAACACGTTTGGGGGCTCGTAATAGTTTCAGTTAAAACAGCTAGGTATTTTAAAAGTTCATCACCATTCAGTGGCACTGGCTGGGTGGCCTAGGAAATGTGATCTTCCTGGAGGAAGTATGTCACTGGGGTGGACTTTGAGAGATAAGGGCTCCCCTCCAGTTCACTTTCTCCTTTCTGCTTGTGGTTTTAGATGTGGGCTCCCAGCGTGTTCTTCCTGCTCCCCACCAAGACAGACTCCTATCCCTCCTGAGCCGTAAGCCTAAACCTTTCCTTCTATAAGTTGCCTTGAGTATGGTGCTTGTTTTGTCTTGGGTAAGAAATACAAAGGTCAGCGCTGGCTCCAGGTATTCCTGCTACACAGGGTAGATTCCTCTTCAGCTCTGCCTCCAGTCCCCCAAGCCCCATTGGCTCAGTAGACATAAGGCATTCTTGAGCCTGACTCTGGCCATTTGAATGGAGGTCCCTATAAGGTGAGAGAAGTAGCTGTTAGGGCACAATGACACTATTTCAGAGAGTATTTCCTCAAAATCCTGCTGAACTTGGCTCAGCACGTCCTTATGCAAGGTCACGGAAGCCTTCCCATCGTCCCTAAAAGAGCCCAGGTGTCAGCTGATTTCCGTCCCTTCAAACCTCAGGTCTAACTGCTGCCTGGTGGCAGAGCAATGTCCTGAGCTTTCACAGCCGAGCATTGCACCCATGCAGTACATACACAGATGTAGGTTCCTTTTAAGGCCTCTCCAGAGGAGCATTAAGGTACTTTCTGTTCCTCAGATGTCAAGGATGGCTTGTATTGTTTGACTTCTGGATACACCTTAGTGGATAGATCCACTCTCCTGCGGGTGGAGGCTTTATTTTTTCTGAGGTTTTATTTTTATCCTGAATTTGGGGTATTTGTCTGTGAGTTTATGTGTGTGAGTGATGGTGCCTGCAGAAGCTACCGTCTTCGGAACCCCCTGGAGCTGGAGTTACAGGCGGTTGTGAGCAGTCTGATGTATGCTAGGAAGTCAAGTCAGACCTTCTGCCAGAGCAGCGTGTGCAAGTTCTTAACTGCAAAGCCCCCTCTCCAGATCCGGTGTGGGGTTTCTTGAGTGGCTTTTTTTTTGGGTACATTATTTCCCTTCCCCTCCCCAGCTGTCCTGCCTCCCCTCTTCTACCCCATCCTGGGCTGTGTCCTTTGTGGTCCCCAGTGTCGTTCCTTATTACCACCGTCATCCACTCTCCCTTTCCTGCTTCATGATGTCCCCATCTGTCCCCTTTAGTCCCCCTCCATTTCCCTGTGGCTCCAGGCAGTACTCCGGTGCAGCCCAGGTGGGGCTCAGACTTGAAGTTACAATCCTCCTTGCCTCTGCCTCAGGAGAACTAGGATTCCAGGCACAGCTTCAGACTTCTCTTAGTGTTTCCTTTCCCGCCCACCGAACCTCAGTCTCCTCACCTCCACTGCTTTTTCCCCTCAGCCCTGTCAGCCTTTCCCTCCTGCAGTGAGCAGCAGCTTGTTTCTCAATCAGTTCTGGGCCTGGGGAGATGGCTCTGTGGGTTAAGAACACCAGCTGTTCTTCCAGAGGTCTGAGTTCCCTTCTCAGCACTCATGTCAGGCAACTTAAAACTTATGTAACTCCAGCTCTGTGGGATCTGATGCCCTCTTCTGGCCTCCATGGGCACTGCTCAAATGAGGTGCACAGAAATCCACGCAGGCAAACACCCGTCACATATTTTTGAAAACATCAGTTATGATAACATCACAATTCTAGAAAGTCATTATTAAGGAAATTGTATCTGGCCATGGTGATGCATACTTTAATCCTAGCACTGGTGGATCTCTGTGTGTTTGAGGCCAACCTGGACTGCACTGTGTGTTTTAGGCCAGCCAGGGCTACGTAAAGGAACTCTTTACCTCATATGAATTCTTAGAAATTGCTATGGTTCAAATATGGTCTTTCCATGAGCATATGCAGGAGTTTAACACTCAAAGTTTTATGTAAAAGGAATTAAGAAGATAAAAAAGAAATCGCACTGTGGATGGAAATGCAGGCCTTTGGGAAGTGGTTAAGGTCATTGATGGGGCTTAATGACCAAATCCCGAAGACTTATCCAAGGCTAAGGAAAGACCAGACAGACAGACAGACAGACATGCATTACAAAGTGATGGAGCCTAGATGAGTCCTCAACAGAGCCTGCGCTATGTTGTTTCATACCGAACTTCCAGAACTCTAAGCCAGTATAAACCTCTGTTCCTTAAAATGGATCCTTCCACATGTATTTTGTCACAGTAGCAACCCCAAACTAACTCATAACCCTGCACATAGTTATGCAGGAGTCGGTGTTTGGGAAACTGGTAACTTTAGCAAGCTGGCCATCCAAAGAATTTGCCTGAAGTTCATCAGCCCATGGGGAGAACCCTGAAGAAATTGGAGGGTCTGCAGGATCTTATCTATAACTGACTCCTCTACATGGAGGGTTTTAATATTTAGTTATATCTAGTTTTTACTTAGGGCAAAAGCCTGGTCTCCCCTGGACTCTGTGCAAGTCACCCACCCCCAGTTCTTCCCAAATGGGCTGCGGCTGAGTCATCTCTGCACCACAACCCAGGGCTTTTGTAATTCCAAGATGGATCCATCTAGACAAGAGCAGAACTGAGAGAGCAGAGAGGAAGTGCAGCCAGAGTCGCACAGTGGACCCCATGCTTCTCAACATCTCTGTGCTTCTGCTTGCCGGGGAATGAACACAGAGGGAATCCAGTATGCTCTGAGATAGTGGAGGTGAGGCACAAAGCCTGGCTGTTGGCATATACTTGGCAGTGGTGGTGGCCGTGGGAGGTTTGCCCAGAAGTAAAAAAATGTTGGTGTCATCTATTATCTGTCTCTATCTTGGTTGAGATGGTCACTTGCTGGACCTGGCCCTTGCTAATTCAGCTAAATGAGGTGGCCACTGAGTGTCAAGGACCCCCAGTCTGTATCCCTAGCACTAGGATTGCAGAGGCATGCTGCCACATCTGGTCTTTTTTTTTTTTTTTTTTTTAAAAAAAAGATTGGTTTTCTTTTTACATGTGCATGAGCGTTTTGTCTGCATATTTGTATTTGCACTTTGTGTGCATCTGGTGCCCACAGATACCAGAAGAGGGCACTCGATACCCAGGAACTGGTATGAGCTGTCATGTGGGTGCTAGAAGCCAAGCCTGGATCCTCTCCAAGAGCAGCCAGGTTCTTAACTACTGAGCTATCTCTCCAGCCCCAACTTTACATTTTAGATTTATAGTGTGTGTGTGTGTGTGTTTGCCTTCATGGAGACATGTGTACAACATGTGTGCTTTGAGTTCCCTGGAACTAGAGTTAGAGATGCCTGTGAATCACTGCGTAGGAGGTAGGAATTGAACCTGGGTCCTCTGGATGATTAGTTAGTGCTCTTAACCACTAAGCTATCATTCCAGCCCCAATGTTTTATGTTTTTTTTTTGTTGTTGTTGTTTGAGACAGGGTTTCTTTTTAGCTTTGGAGCCTGTCCTGGAACTAGCTCTTGTAGACCAGACTGGCCTTGAACTCACAGAGATCTGCCTGCCTCTGCCTCCGAGTGCTGGGATTAAAGATGTGCGCCACCACCGCCTGGCTCTTTTGTTTTTAAGGTTCATGTGAAAGCCTCTTGCATAGAAGTCATCACATAAGTATGGGAAACCCTGAGCCCCATATCAAAGGCACCTTGTTTTTTAGGTGACAACTTGCATTTATTGATCCCTTCTTGTCCTTGCAAGACTCCAAGGTAAAGCTCTTTTCTCTGCACAGCCATATCTCTGCACCTGCTGTCTGTGCTGTTCACCTCATGAGTGAGGGCACTCGGCCACTTCAGAGAGACCCTTCTAAGTGTCCTTCCATCCCAAGGCACCTTGGGGAGGCGCTCACTCGCAGGCTTCTCTGAGCTTCTGGAAATGGAGCAGCAGCAGTAAAGTCCCCAAGATCCCCGGAGCCCGAGCATGAGGAGTATTCCAGGATGCAAGGCAAGGTGAGAGGGGAACAGTCTTGAAAATAGAAGTCATTTGGCAGGACATTTGCAAAACGAGCAGAAACCAGACAGAAGTCCTCCGTCAGGCTTTCATTTCCACTGTTCCCTCGGCCTGTGGGACTCAGAAAAGTAGGCACAGAGCAGTCATGTCATACTACTCTTCCAACTGTTCTGTTTAAAAGAAGCAAAAGTGTCTCGCTTGGACAGACCATGCAAACAGGGACACAAAAGACCAGCTTTTACAGGGGTTCCTACTTAAAACACACACTGAGGTTTAACATTACATTTTACAATATAAATCACAGCCAGACTGGTGCATAAATAAAACTGGATGCTCCTATGACTTCAAAAGATTCACTTAGCATGTGTGACTAGAAATCGTACGGTCTCAGATAGAAAGCACACTGTCCCTTCCGAGGGTCACCCTCTGTGGACACAGACGTGTCCCATTTTAGCTGCTTGGGAAACTGTCACCTCTTTGGGGGAACACCATGAGTACTTGACAGGATGCGTTTTTTTTTTTTTCCTTTTGGAGAAAACTGGTGACAAAGAGCTGGGGGCCACACAGCGTTCTCATCCTAAGGTTCTCACAGTGTCAACCCATTTCAAGAAGCCTGTTTCTCAGTTTATCACTCCGCAGGCAGGACCTGCTCATGTTTTCTGTCACATCTGGGGCTTTGCGTGAGAGCCCCCTAGTGGAGCTCCCAAGAAACAAGGCTCTCCTGCCTTTCTTTTGCTTTGCTTTTAAGATGCAATCATTCAAAAACCACTTCTCCCTCCTCCTGATTTTCGAGGGCAGTTTTTGACACTGTGTGTTGTTGTTGCTGTTTTTGCTACTGTTTTAAGAGCCAAAAGGAATCAGGAGTTGGGAACGACAGACTTGCAAGCTGTCTAATTTCCTAGCAACTCTGAGACACAGGTAAGGCAGGTTCCAGGGTGGGGCAGATAGCTCTGGAGAAAGCTACAGGAGAGGCTCAGAAGGACTGTGTTCTGAGAAGTGGTGTTGTCATGGAATAGCTGCCATGCCTCTCCAGGTGACTCCTGGGAGGGGACAGCATCTGTGTGTATGTCTCTGCAGTCACATAGCTCTTGCGTGGGAAGTCTCAGAGTCCAGGCTAACCTTCCAGAAGAACTCTAGCCACACATTCCTGCTTTGGTTACTAAGGAACTCAAGGTCAGAGAGCCAGACTTCCCATGAGCACCTGAGACTTCCACAGTTCCTGAGGATCAGGCATACTCTGCCAGGTTTCTTCTTTCAAATACTCTGCTTTCTACCCAAAGTACAATCTTTCTGCCAACCACCGCCATCTGCTCTTCTTCTGATGGTCCCTGGGAACACCTCCGTACTGCTCAGCCCAGGATCTCAGATTCTATTCCCCAACGCCCAGGGGCCTAGTGACGCCCATGCTTTCTTCCTCTGGTTCCTTCTTGGACATCAGACGCTGTCCATCCACTACGTGGCATCCTCTTGCTGAGCCCTTAGGGGCGAATGTGCAGAATTTTCTTGAATGTCTTCTTGAAGTTCTCGTTGCACAGGGGGTAGATGAGGGGGTTCAGCGTGGAGTTGATGTAGCCCAGCCAGATGGTGAACATGTGCACGGGTTCACTGCAGCAGCTTGTGCAAAAGGCAATGACCATGAAGAAGATGAAGTAGGGAATCCAGCAAAGGATGAAGGCCGCCATGATAAAACCCAACTGCTTGGCTGCCTTCCGTTCTCGGTTCAAGTGCAGCCCAGACACATACTGTCTGGAATGTGAGCGGAGTCTCTTCCAGGTGATCTTGATGTAATCTAGGCCGCTGTTAGATCCACTTCTCAGTTTGTCTCTGCCCGGCCCTGGCTCTGTGCTGGGGTCAGAGTCCGTGGTCCGTGAGAAGGACTGTCGATCCACCAAGGTCTGGTCCTCTGATGTCTCACTAATCCGCCGGCAAGCATTCAGGTTCTGCTCATCCATTTTGAGCTGGCTCAGGGCCTGGTCGTTGGTCTCTGAGCCCCTGCCACCCCCTTCAGCCATAGCCTGTGTGATGTCAAGATGAAAACAGTGGCGCGTGACTGCTTCTCTATCCTCCTCTTGACTGAAGACAGTCGCAGAGTTCATCTTCTTGGGGTCTTCGGATGTCGATTTCTGATCCAGGCCTCCACTAGGGTCTCTTGATGGCCTTTTCAGGACCCCCCAGGGAGACTCTTTCCCAGGTTTCTTGGTACCCTCCTTGATATCCTCTGACTTCGACTTGATCTCTAGGAAGGAAGGGAGGGAGCCATTGGTGAGCTGGCGGTGCTGGCAGTGTTGCCGCACGGCCTTGTAGATCCTTACGTAGAACCACAGCATGAGCAAAGTGGGGAGGTAGAAGTTGATGATGGCGGTCATGACCTTGAACCAAGTGACATTGTAGAAGTCTGTCTCACACTTGTCTTCCCGAAGCACTGAGGGTGAGGGTGTGAAGTGATGCCAGCCAAGAATGGGTATAACCCACAGGAAGGAGAGAAACCAGGCCCCCAGGATGGTGGCTGATGCGCGGGTCTTGGTGCGATACCTCAGGTACCGGAGGGGTTGCTGGACGGAGCGGTATCGATCAATACAAAGGATGAAGACACTGAAGATGGATGCTGTGCTGGCCACATAATCCATGGAGAGCCAAAAGAGGCAAAGGGGGCGGCCCAGGGACCACCTGGCCATGATGAGATAAAGGATGTTCATGGGCATGACGACTGCACCTACGATCAGGTCTGCTACCGACAGGCTGACAATGTACAGGTTGCCCACGGTGTGCAGCTTACGCTCACTGTGCACAGCATAGAGCACCAGCAGGTTGAGACCCACTGTGACCAGGGAGATGCTACTTAGAACCACCACCAGGGGCAGCAACTGAGGGCTGGCCATGGCGGTCCTGTTCCCCTCACACATCTTGTCTTCGAAGGTTGAGGTATTGAGAAGGCTCATTGGCGCAAGGGCAGCCTTCAACGATGGCGTCCACCCTAGGAGAAAAGATACGACATGAGATCAAGGTCAGCGGTCAGCCAAGAGCATCATGCTGGTCAGACTGAGAGCTGCTGGGGGTAGTGGGCATCCATCCCACCATGAGGACCCATGTGGTCACTCATGCATTCCTTCTGGCCTCATTCCATCAGTGGGTAGTTGTTGGATTCCTGGCATCATTCTGAATATCAGCGCATAAACTGGACAAGACCCTCTGATCTTGTGGATCATACATACCAGAGTTTAACCAGAACAGGGCAATCAGTACCTTGTGCAAGTCTTATTTTGACCTGAGCTTTGTCTTGTTCACCTGTGTCCTCTTTGCTGGTTGCTTGTCCTGAGACAAAACTGTGGCTAGAGCTGGGCAGTGGTAGCACACACCTTTAATGTCAGCACTTGGGAGGCAGAGGCAGTTGGACCTCTGTGAGTTCAAGACCAGCCTGGTCTACAGAGCTAGTTCCAGCATAGCTAGGGCTGTTACAAAGAGAAACCCTGTCTCATAAAAACAAAAACAAAAACAAAACAACAACAAAGCCCTGTGGCTAGAAAGAGGCAGTGGGGCTCACAAAGCATTCTCTTTCTGTGACAGATGCCAAACTATGAAAACCACCCTTTCCCTCTACCCTCTTCCCAGAAGGAAGTGAAGACGGGGTGTTTGGAGTAGTTCGGAGGTGGTCAGGAAAGTGTTAAGAAAACCTTGGAGGCTCAAGGCTTTTGGGTTCAGTTGTTATTCAGCTGCTGAAGGGACTCTGGAATCTTGGTGAACACTAAGTCCTAGTCACTAAATTCTTTCTTTTCTTAGGTCACTGACCAGGGAGAACTGACCTGGAGCTATGAGCTTTCCTGACTGGGACCCTGGGGGGATAAAGGAGGTACAGAGACATGGACTGAATATAGCATAGCCCCAAGAAGGAAGGTCCTTGCACTGTGGACATAGCTCAGGGATAGAGGGGTCATTAGCGACATCAAGGCTCTGGCTTCCGGTTCAGCACCACGAACAAGATGTTATTTATTGATTGATTGATTGATTGATTGATTGATGTCTGTTTGCATTTTGGAAGCCAGCTCTTGGTACAACATGAATGGCATGGAACTTACAGTGTAGACCAAGCTGGCCTTGAACTTGCAGTAATCCCCCTGCTTCTGCCTCCCCAAAGCTGAACTGCAGGTATGGGCCTCCATATCTGGCTTCAAAATATTAATTTGCTTGTTACTTTATAAATTACAATAAGCAAATTAATATAAATGTTCATTTGCTTACTACATACAGTTCGATGCAATTTTTTTTTTTTTTTAAAAAAAAACGGTCTTATGTAGCCTAGGCCGGCCTCAAGTCATTAGGTGGCTGAAGATGACACTGAACCCCTGACCCTTCTGCCTCCATCCCTTGAGGCTGAGATTACACACGTGTACCATGTCTGGCTGGTGCACGCTCTATTCCCCATCTCCCTTTCTCCTTCATATTTGTGGGATGTCTTTTGTGCAAAGAACAAAAGCTGCTTAACGTGCAGGGAAGCCTCACTTTCATCCTTAGCATCAAAACCAAGTAAAAACGAACCCCACAAACCAATAAATGAATATGATAGTATCAACTGTCAACTTGACAGACTCTAGACCAGTGGTTCTCAAACTGTGGGTCACGACCCCTTTGGGACGGAGCATCAGATGGCCTGCATATCAGATATTTACATTATGATTCATAACAGTAACAAAATTACAGTTATGAAATAGCAATGAAAATAACTTTATGGTTGGGGTCATGACAACATGAGGAACTTCATGAAAGGGTTGCAGCATTAGGAAGGTTGAGAACCACTGCTCTAGAAATACCTGAGAGACAGGCCTCCGAGCACACCTGAGAAAGACTATCTTCATTAGATTAATGGATGTAGGAAAGCCTAGCTCAGCAGGGGGTGGCACCTAGGGGACCCTGGGCTGTGTAAAATGGAGATAGCCATCTGAACACACATTCATTCATTGTTCTTGACTTCTTGGCTGCAGCTACAATGGGTTCAGCTGCTTCAAGCTCCCCCCCTGCTGTGATCCACGGGGGGGGGGGGCATGAGCTGAAAGCAAGAACTGTGAGCTAAAATAAACTCTGTCTTAAATTGCTCTTGTTGGGGTATTTACATCACAGAAACAGAAACAGAAACTAAAAAGACAAATAACTGTATGTTAGATGAATGAATGAATGAATGAATGAATGAGTGGCAGAAGGGTCTGACTCAGTGGCAGTACACCCACCTGGCATGCACAAGGCCCTGAGTTCCATTCCCCACACCACTGAAGCTAAGTAAGTAGGACTAGGGAGGTAGCTCAGTGGTTATGTGTGTCTGCTGCTCTTCCAGAGGACCTGAGTTCTGTTCCCAACAAGTACATTGGGTCACAACCACCTGGAACTCTAGCTCAAAGGGATCTACTCACGCCTCCCGGCCTCAGAGGACATCACACTCATGTGCACATACCACCCTCCATATATAATTTTAAAAGTAAAACCCTTAAAAGTTAATAAACAAAACGGATATGCAAGAGACAGCATGCTGTGAAGCATTTTAGCTCGGAGAGCTTTTTCATTCAGCCAGTACTTGCTGCTGCTGCCCATCCTTTACACCCTCCTGCTGATCCAACCCAAGAGGAGGAAGGCTGCTTTGCCCTGCAAAGGTGCAGGCCTGTGAATAGAAGCTGCGATTTTGGTGGGGAACCTATTGGAAGGAGGGAGCTGTTGGAGGAGGGCTCTTGGTGGGGCTGCTGGGGAGAGCTGCTGGGGAAGGCCTGCGGGGTGGAGCTGTGGGAACACATTTGCTTTTGTATCTGAATTTGCACAGAAACCCCAGTGCTCAGCTCACACAGGGAGGTCTGAGGAATGCCTGCAGTTCCCTGGAAGTAGAAAAGCCTTGGGGAACTCTGGGAGCAGGCTGGAAGCCCAGAAAAAACTGGCCACACAGGGAACACAGCAAACAGCACCGGTCTGAAAAGGCAATTCCAAAAAGGGAGGGGGAGCCTCGGGGACAGGCTTGATGGATGCTGGAGGCTTCTCAGGAAAAAGATGCCGCAGGGACCCACGGGTTCTGGGCCAGGGGCCTATGGTCACACAGAGAGGGCTGCAGAGGGCCCATAAGAGGAATTTTCTCCACTCCAAGTCCCGCTCAGGACCACCTACTTTATTGATAATCCTAATAAAATGAAAGAAAACAAAAAATAAAATGTTTTTCAATACCAGGGATCAAACATAAAGCTTCTCCCTCCCCAGGCAAGTGCCCTAGCACCAAGCCTCACAGCCCTAAATAAAAATGTCCAAATGACCAAGAATCTGATGACAAGGGATGCAGAACATCCTGACATCTGGGGATCATTCTGAGCACAGGCCTCTGGGCAGCTGCAGGGTCACAGGGTTACCATGGCTGGGAGGTATGTGTGCTTTATCCAGCCCTTACTAGCCTTGAAATAGCACATCAGTGTTCTTCTCCCTTCTTATGGATCTGCAGTTTGAACAGCAGATTCATAAGCAGCTTCTAAGAGAGGGCCAGATGCTTGTGGCCAGAAGGGAAGACATGCCAACAACAGATAGACCGCACCCAGCCTTCCAGCCCACAAAGATGACAGAGAAGGTGGGGGGCATGACCCTATCCAGCCTTTCATCTTACAAGGGACTGCCAAGAGGGTGGAGGACACACAGAGCAGAGACCCCCATCTGGCCTCATATCCACAGGGGACTAACAACGTGTAGGGGACATGGGCTTCCATCTGACCTCATGGACCACAGGGAACTAAAGAGAAAGTGGGACACACAGAGACAGGGGCCCAGGGCTCAGGGCTTATAGGGAACTGCAGAGAGGGGACATGGAGACCTTCAGCCTTATACACCGCCCTTCCCCAGCTCCCAGACTGAGCAGCCTAGAGCTCTGACAAGGCATCCTTATATCAAAAGCAGAAAAATGGCGACCCTCCTCCCCACCTCCCCTTCCTCCCTCCCTTCCTCTACTGCTAGGAGGTGGGGGAGGCACTGAGTCAGTGAGTTTGTCATGGGCTGTGCAGGATGAGGCACGGAGGGTTCAGTAAAAGGCAGCAGTGGGTCCTTCTTCCCCAATGGGCTCAGGGAGAGGGTGACATTCTTCTGGGTGACAGTGGTGGATACAGACCAAAGCCATCAGCAGGTGCATCCTCTGTAGTGATTGCAAGCACTACAATATAATCAAGTTTAAGTACCAGGAAGCAAGGCCAGGGTCAATGTTCCTTCCACATGCTGGACCACACATCAATTATATTGACCCGAGCGGCCCAAGCTCAAAGAGGCCAAGCAACTCATTTAAAGCCACAGAGCTAGAGTGTTTGCTGAGATTGCAAGTCTAAGTCTGCTCCCTTTGGGTCTCTCACCTGAGTACCACTGGCACTAGGGGGAGGGGTCACTCTATGGTGGGGGCTTCTCTGTGTCTGGTCTGTGCAAACAACCCCAGGTTCTGTGCAAGAAACACCAGTAGCAGACACCTCCCAATGTGACAATGACATGTCTGATGTCAGATGTTCCGTGGGGGACAAAGAAAATGTGACCAGAGCAGTGGCACATTTGTCTAGCCCAGGACACAACATGCATCTCGCAGTGAGACTTGCTTGTGGGTTTAAAAAGTATGTGTGTTTGTGTGTGTGTGTGCTCACGTGCAGGTGTGCGCGCAGGTACTCTCAGAAACTAGAGGACGCCCAATCTAAGAGCGCTCATGACAACACAGGAAACTCTTACGACAAAACGAAATCTTCACGATGTTGTATGCATAGGCTAGTGCCGATTCTACTCACGGAAAGGCTGGGGAGAGGGAGGACCTCTGTGCATGCACAGCTTTCTCTGGGCTGTGGAAAGCGTTATCTTTAACAGTTCCCAAGGTGTCAAGGATGAGATTTGTCTTAATAATGGGAAAAATAAAAACTCAGTAACAACATCTGTTGTTAAAAACACAATAAAATAAATTTCATTAAAAATTAATAAAGCAATGTTTTTACATGTTTT